CATATCTCATGCAGAGCAGTTCAGCTCTTGTAGTCAGACACACCATCAATGGTCCGAAAGGATGCTGTATGAAACAAAGGGAATTCTCACTCTCAGAGCATGTACTTTTTTTTTTTTACCCTGGCTGGTGCGGCTCAGTTTGGTCCTGTGCACCAAAGGGTGGCGGGTTCCATTCCAGGTTAAGGCACATACCCAGGTTGTGGGTTTGAACCCTGGTCAGGGTTCATATGGAAAGCAACTGATCAATATTCCACCCCCCTCTCCTCCTTCCTCTCTAAAATCAATAAAAATTAAAATATAACTTATAGAAAAGTTGCTAGTACAAAACAGTCCCATATACCATTCACCCATGTTCCCCAATTGTTGACATTTTATCATATTTTCTTTATCATTAACTATCTACCATCTAATTCTTGTCCTGTCTGTCTGTCTGTCTATCTATCTCTTTTTTTCCAAGAACCATTGGAGAGTAAGTTGCAGACATGCTAGCCATTCCCCTTGAATACTTTAGTGCATATTCCCTATAAACAAGGCCAGTCTCCTGCAGGACCATAGGACAACCATCAGCATCAAGAAACAGTATGAGCAGCTAATCCACAGACTCCATGAACATTTTCCCCTTTATATGTCCTGTCTAGTAAACGGATCTAATGTGTTGCACTTGGTTGTGCTGTCTCCTTAGTTTCGTGTGCAATCTGGAACAGTTCCATAGTTTTTTCCTTGCCTTTGGTGGCCTTCTAATTTTGAAGAGTATAGACCAGTATTTTGTATAATGACCCTCAATTTGGGTTTGTCCAATGTTTCCTTATGATTAAATTCAGGTTATGGACTTTGGGCGGAAGTATGAATCTGTGTTCTCACTGTGTCCTATAGGGTACCCCACTGATACAGGTGGTACCTGTCAAGTTATTATTTTTCTCTTTATAATTAGTTTTTTTTCTTTTTGATAGGGAGATATTTTGAGACTCTGTAAATATCTATTCCTCATCAAACTTTTACCCACTAGTTTTAGAATCCATTAGTAATTCTTGTTTGAATCCATTATTACTATGATGGTTGCCAAATGGTGGCTTTCTAATTTTATACTTCCTTTTACATTTATTAGGTGCCATTATATTATAAAGAAAAGCTTCCTTTTCTCTCCAATTCTTTGTTCATCTATTTATATCAGTATGGATCCCTATTTTACTACCTTATAACCCACTACTACTATTTATTTTTATGCCCAGAGTGTCCCTGGTTTTTCCAGTGAGAGCCCCGTTCAAGCTGGCTTCTACGTCTTGTTGACATGTCCACATCGCTCTTGGAACACATCCTCACTGTCTGGCACAATGAGATATACCAGGCTAATTTTGAAGTTTTGCTGCCCAGCTCTGGAATCAGAAATTTCTCTAATGAGCCCTGATTCCTCTGGGTAGAGAACAGTATTTGGAAACCAAGATCTGGGCATTGGATGTGCTCAGTTGCTACTGGAGTGTCGCTGTCCCAGGCTCTCTCAATGGGCAAGTTGGGGCAAATATATGTGTGCATGTGCCTGCATGTACATACATATATATTATGCATAACTACATCTATTTTATTACTATACTAGAAGCCCGTTGCACAAAGATTTGCTCAATAGGCCTTCCTTCCCCTGGCTGCTGGCACCAGTTTTCCTCCGGCACCTGGGACCCAGGCCTTTGGTTCGGCTGCAGCAGAGAAGCCAAGCCTCTTCAGGTTCAGTCTTCAGTCTTCACCCTGTGCCTGCGTATGCAAATTAACTGCCATCTTTGTTGAGTTAATTTGCATAGTCACTCTGATTGGCTTGTGGGCATAGCAGTGTGACACCAATTTGCATGTTTCTCTTTTATTAGTGTAGATGTACCTATGTATATATTAAAAACATGTTCACACCTCCAGTTCTGATTCAGTTCCACAGGAAGGCACTCTCCCTTTCCAAATTCGTACCCTTCCTCCTCTGCTAGTGGCCGCTATGATTTTCTAAATGTATGCTTATCTCTCCATCCCTGGTGTGTAACCAGTCTCACTTGGCTCCCACCTTCTTTGGCCCTGGTCCTGTTGGGCCACTGCCTTGCTTCTACCACCTACCTTGCTTGGCCCCAAACTCAATGGATGGAAGGAAGGAAGGTTCCTAAGATAATTTTGCTGACCATTTAAGAATACCTTTTCCTACTTTCTATAATTTCCTACTTAAATAACTTTAGCACTGGGCATTATGATTTTGAACGGATCTATAGGTGAAAAACAACTTTATTTGTTTTCTTTAGCTTATCATGACAGTACCTATCTTTTCTATAGTTTAGGGGGTGGGGGTTTGAAGGTAGAGAATAGAAGGTAGAAAGGAGGTGGAGGTAGTCCAGGGGTCATCCTTCTCTAAGGGAAATACCTGATAACTAGGGCAGTGACAGAGCTGGGTGGACTTAAAAAATATCAGGGGACACCGAGTTTCTTTCTCCTTATTTTCTTTCTTTCCATATCCCTACTTTCAAGTACCAGGAAACAAAACATATGTTGTTTTTGTTTCCTTTATTTTGGTTGTTCAGTACCTAATGGGGAAAAGAACACAGTGTAAGCCAATTCTCTGTGGGTGAAGTTGCGAGTCAGAGGGGTTGAGACAGGAGAGCCATAGAGGGTCATGCAGAGGGGGCAGGTGGCTGGAGGAAGAGCTCAGTTAGAAGGGAACTCGAGGCCATGACAGAATGAAATCAGTAGAGAAGGGAAGGGTTGGCTGAGGGAGATGGTAAGATGGAGTTGGGCTTGGTGGAGTGGATGGCTGATGAGAAGGCGTTTCAAATGGCCTTGATTAATCGTCAAAGTTTAAAGACCTGTAGGCATGTTCACATTTGCCGCTTGAGAACTTAAGGGCAAAAGATGTTTGAAGAATCCATGTATTCATTTTTCTTTGAAAAGCAATTTCTAAGCATAAGTAAATTGACTCTTTTTTTTGTTGCTTTGCTTTTAGGTCATGTGTATTCTGCCTTCCGCTCAGCAGAGCTATTATGAATCCATTAAAAAATATCTGAGCTCCGACTGCCCAGTCCCAAGCCAGTGTGTGCTTGTTCGGACCTTGAGTAAACAGGGGATGATGATGAGTATTGCCACCAAGATTGCCATGCAGATGACCTGTAAACTCGGAGGCGAGCTGTGGGCCGTTGAAATCCCTGTGAGGAATCTGTCACTCTTGTCCTTTTAGTAATCAGTTGATCAATTCATTTTTAAAATGTATTTTTAAAAGTTGATTCCAGAGAGGAAGGGAGAGGGAGAGAGAGAAATCTCAATGATGAGAGAGAATCATTGATTGGCTGCCTCCTGCATGCCCCACATTGGGGATCGAGCCTGCAACCCAGGCATGTAACCTGACCGGGAATCGAACTGTGACCTCCTGGTTCATAGGTTGACACTCAACCACTGAGCCATGCTGGCCGGGCTGATTAATTCATTTAAAAAATGAAATCAAAGTGGGAGATTTTTTTACAGGATCCCAGAGGTGTTTGTTTTGCTTGTTGAGCTCTGCTCTGGGTTTGGCTTCCACAAGCCACTGTGAAGGTGTGCACAGGTGAGGCGTAGCCCCCGATCTCAAGGAGCTTCAGTTAAGCTGATAACAGAATAGATCCTGGGAGAGAATCTAGTCTGGCATAGACTTGGAAGGACATGCTGTAGAGCCTCTGGCAGCTATTTAAAATCTGCATTCCACGGCCTTTGCCTTTATCTGCTTCCACCAGGTGCTCACTCTCAGAGTAGCCTTGCATCCTGGTTGGGCCTCCCCAAACCTTGGAGAGCTGGCAGAATCTATCACCTGAATCTCCAAACTGTGTGGGGAACTGAGAAATCCTCTTGTCTTTCCTGAACTGTGGCCACTGTGGGAGGAAATGCGAGAATGAGAAGTGAGAGAATGTAGCCCATTCTCTTACACTTCCATAAGCAGGGTGACCCCACCTGCATAGCCAGGTGAGGAGTCCTTAGAGAGCTGAAGAAAGGGGGCTAGAATTCCTCTCCAGATTCCTTCAGCCCAGAGGCAAGGGATAAATGGACTGAGCACTTCCCCAGAATCCTTTGAGCCACTGATGACTCATGGCCATCTCCACAAAGGATGGTTGCTATTTTGGACTGTAGTGAATCTCTTAAAACAAAGTATATACCATATTCTTCCCTTTCTCTTTAAGTCTCTTTGGTTTCTGGTTAAATATCTGCCTCACCTGGACCTTGATCTTCCTGGCACATAGCTTAACTTGAATAATTAAATAATGGGGGTAATTTTTAAAACTTTCATGTTAAGTTGTTTGAGGTAATAATACCTCATCCCATTAAAATCATGAAACATTTAATTTTACAGTTAAAGTCCCTGATGGTAGTTGGCATCGATGTCTGTAAAGATGCATTCAACAAGGGAATGGTGGTGGTTGGATTTGTGGCCAGTATTAACCTCAGAATCACCAGGTACTTTTACAATGACTCTAACATATTCTTCCACTATTTAGACTATTAATTGTGGTTTAACTAAAGACTATACAGCAAGGAATAGTTTGTATTCTTTACTTATTTTTAAAATGTGAATACTTAAGGTCATAAATTATACTGACATAAATGATTGATAATATTGGGGCAATACATTGCCGCATTAAAAAACTATTTTTATACATACATTAGGACAAGCTATTGCTCATATACTAGTCATATTCCCAAAAGGATGGCCATGTAGAAATTCTTGAGCATTTATTTTCTGAACATCGGCACTGTATTAGGCATTGTACTAGGAACTTTACATACATTATGTCAAGCAGTTGAGAGAATGCCTGAATTCATGCTTATGATTATATTATTATTAATGCTCACAGACACTTGATATGGTGGCTGTTTGCACAACTATTAAAAACATAGGCAGGAAAAAAAAACATAGGCAGGATTAGGGATAACATGTTAAACATGAGCTCATAGTTCTTATTAAGTTCTCTTAGAATTGTTCCCATATTTGTAACTAAACAATGCTTTGAGGCAGTAGGAGCTGTTGGCAAATTCCTTCTTCCTAGACTTAAGCTGTTTGATTTGCTCCATTAAGTTTGTGGTTAGGTATCTACTTGGGATTGTGGAAAATAAGAAAAATAGCAGCATGCCTCCAACCTCATTCCAGGCTGAAAGAGATCCTTGTTACATGTATCA